TCAACCTGAAATTGTCCCTCTTGCACATGCTCATGCACAATCAAGCACAGGCTGTTTGCCGGCAACCCCAGCAAGGACCGAAATTACAAGCCCAAGTGGCCTCATCCGGATTGACCTGGTCGCCGGCACACTTCTGGAGATCATCCGCTCCTGCCAAAACCGATTGTACAGAAAGAGTCAAGACAACCAGAATCTAGTGAGACCAGCTACAGCTTCAACATACCGGCCCACAAAGCATTGGCAGAACTCTACCAAAACAATAACACCAGCAGCCTCTCAGACGTGCAACAACATGTCTGGGTGATTGCAATAAAATCTATAGCTCTCCCATGAACAAGCCCGCAATGTCCTGTCGTACCCGTGGCCGTGGCATCAGCGTCCCCATCGGTGCCATCGAGGTCCGCCTCACCGTTCTCAATTTGCCTGGGATGGGAATTTGCGATAATATTACATAATCAATCTATCGATCAGTTCCAAACATCATGAGTGCTGGTCGATCTTGTCTGATTACGTACTGCAGTCAAAATGCGCTGTCAACTCCAGCAAAGCTATCTGCTGCAACACCTTTGTGAGCTCAGCCTTTTCAGCAGTACTCATGGGCGGAGGGGTGAAGTCTGCTGTAGGCCTCGGAGTGGCTGGGGGAGTCGGGGTTACATCAGAGAACCCCCTATCGATGCTGGGCACGGACCGGATTCGGCCGGGTGCCGACTTCACGGAAGCCGCTCCTGTGATCGGAGTCGAGGGCCCAGCCACGCTGGGAGCATCACTGCTCTTGGGGGAAGTTTTCCCCTTCTTCCTGCTGTCAGCAGGAGCCTCCTCAAAGTATTCATCATCGATGCCCCTAGCATTCTCGATATCGCTATTGGCTGTCATAGCATCTTCCGCTTCCAGCTGATCATTGACATAGCTCGAACGCAACTCTTCAATGCGCTCGAAGAGCATCGCAACATGCGGGTCCTTGTCTTATGGATTGCACACACAGAGGATCGACAAAGCTTGCTCAGAGAGCACTGATTTCTCTACACTACACACTCTTACAGCTGAGGCTGTATGAAAGGGCGAGAATCTCTGGGCACCTGTCCCCGAATGAAAGCATCCTTCTGTCTCCGCCATAAAAACGTCCATAGCCTTCTCAAGTCCCAGGCGTCGTGGTAGGGTTGGTTCTGCTTGGCGGGAATGAAGTCCATATCATGGAACAGCTTTGCCACCTGTGAGGGTTCGTGTTTTCGTCAGATATATCGTTATTAGATTGCAAGTGCCAGGGAAGATACAAATATGTAATGTGGCCTGCTTCGTCAGGCGATCAATGTCAAGGAATTCAAAGGAGCAGCAATCTAGCATTGGGTCCAAGATGTCAACGTTGAGTTCCAAAGCACGCGTGGTCGGGGCATGTGGGTCTGCTTTCGGCAAACTCTGGGCAGACAATGGGAACTGAAGCCACGAGATCTCACGCCGAAAGCGTGACTGCACGAGTGCCAGATTCTGCCAAGCCTCCGGGAGGCCTTCCATGGCCCCAAGTCGCGCAAGCACTCCAAACCAAGCTAGCTCGAAAAACCCTTTCAATTGAGGGGAAAGGCAACAGTGTACAGCAGTGTAGCTTCATGCAGCAAACGGGCAAACTATCTCTGCAAGCCCAAAGCTGAAACATGTAGGGTGCACCTGCGATCCAGGAAGTCAGCCGGGGAAAGCCCGGCGCAGCCAATCATCCTGCAATAGATACTGAAATGAACCATCGACCTGTGTAACCTTTGAACAAAGTAGTGATTTTGAAGCTCGTGCAGTGGCATGTGCAGAGGTGTGATATCGAACTGACGCATGTCCCCTACCACAATGCTCTACGCAGCTCGAAATCAAGCTCCATAGCCCCAGCACTCCTGGCAGGTGGCGTCGAGGATGTGAGCAGCGGCCACGCAAGTCGGCATTTCTGATGTTCTAACACAAGACAGATCCTAAGAGTAAGGTCAATGCAAGTTTGAGTAAGCTTCGATATGTGACACACTGTGCTTGTGCGATTCATGACGACATCGAGCTGCCTGAAAAAGCAACCTGGCACACTGCATCTATCATTCCGGCGGCAACATCCCCTTAGAACCTCCGGATTTGAAAGTTGCATATTTCTGGGTTCTTAGGGAATCAACGCATATTTACGCCACTTGTGAGAAGTGGCAGGAATTTGCCGCAACTACGCTTGAGTGGCAAGAATAAGCTCCACCAGCGGTCGGTGTAGCTTTTTATGAGCAACTTTGGCGTTACAGGTTGCAGTGAGGATGTATTAATGCAAAGCTTTTGCGAGCGGCAAAGCTCTCAGTAACACCCAGGCACAACATGCAACATGTTGTCGAATACAAATGCAATGCAGATCTTTCAACAGTTAACGTCGACATAGTCACTCAGGGCCGCTAGGATTCTCTAAACCCAGCGCAGGATGCTTTTACAGACGTAGCACTCCAAGAAGAGGCCAAGCGCAAAACAAGGGCAGAGCACAGGAAAAGGCTAGTCCGGATTTCGAAGTCCGAGGTTTCGAACGTCCAGCGGCAGCGTGAGAAAGGTGAAGTTATCGTCCTTCAAGACGTAGTGCAAAAAGTCATGCGATGATCCCCAAATAAGCCTCATCTGCAACGCCAGAACCACGAGTTTCCGTACAGCCCAGAAAGGAGTTGGATGTACTAGTCCACAACTTTGTCCATTCTTCCGGTTTCAAGCACGACGAGTGGTCTTGGATCTGTCACAGACATGTCTTGGTTAGGTGTTTCGAGTTATCACTGCTGTAGGGGAATCCCACAGATTCTGCTAATCAGTGGGGAGTGTTCGTTGTTGTGTCCTAAACCATGGTTCCAAGGCCTCCAAAAACAAGGCGGGGATAGGCGTACCTCCTTGGCCGGGAAAGGGGCCAAAAATGGCCAAAACTGTGCAAAACTGGCCCCCAAGGGTGCCGGGGCAACTTAGGCAAGGCTGAGCGTACCTTGCCTGGTTTGATTAACAGTAGAAGGCGGGCAGGAGCTTTTCCAGGCCATCTTCCCAAAACCGAACAGAGGCGGGGATGCGCGTACCCCAGGGTTTATATAAATTTAAATAGGAAGGACTCCCAGCAAACCAAACAGAGGCGGGGATACGCGTACGGCGGGGATAAGCGTACCTCAACGCGTGCTGGAATTCCCTCTGGCGCGCGCTGGTTTTCGGCCCCGAAACCGTCAGGCTAGGCGTACCTCCTGGGCTGCTGGACCTGACAAACCCAGCTGGGTCTTCAAGCCAAAATAGAGTCCCGCCTGCGGCGGGCAATTCCAGATCTTGTCCTTCGTGTGATTGTACACCATGATGTTAAGCCAAGCTCGGAGTTTGCCCTTCGCGCCTGAGTTTTCTGAAGTGACCAGCCAATGGGATCAACTTCAAAAAAAACACCCCAACCACCTCACACCTACGACGACGCGCAATGTGCAGCACAGTCTCAGTGCAAAGCAGAACGAGCTATTGGTTTGTCGAACCAGGTCAAGACGAGTCCAATGAGTAAGATCAGCGCCTGCCACATGCCCTTCTGCGCGACACTGAAATATCTCAGCATGCTATAGTTGACTGCCGGGTTGCCTCGCATATCAAAAAATCCGGCTGAATCATTCAATTTGTTACAAGTAATTACTGACATGAGCAGCAACATGCAACGACTCATGAATTGCAGGTGAGAAACCCTTCCGGGCACTTGCATCGTAGTCCGGCGGTTAAGACCGAGGTTTCGAACGTCCAACGCGAGAAAAGTGAAGTTATCGTCCTTCAAGACTTAGTGCAAAAAGTTCTGGATGATCCCCGAGTGGCCTGGAACGACGTCGTTGTCCCTGTTACTTTAAATATCACAAAAGCTGTGACAATGTGTTAACAAAATACGGCAGTGATGCGTGCAAATGCGATTCAATGTTTGTTGCTTTGGCAAGCTACTGCGCCCGTCGGAATAGTTCACGTCCTCACGTCCGCTCCGTAGCGACGATCAGAACGTCGTTTTGCTTTTTAGTGTCCGGCGTCTCATGGTACGTTCTGGTTCTGGTCCTCAGGCACGAACTCCCGCGAGGGAGCACGGACAGACGGCTGGCTCTGCCACGACGGCGAGTGGAACAGCGAGTGAACGACACGACCAGCGAGTCGAAAACACAAGGCTGTCCCTAGCTCCCAACCTGTGTAGATTCATCCACTGGTGTCCTACCTGATGCTGCGGCCTCCCAGGCTGCCTGTTGAATGATGTGAAGATCTTTAAGTCTGTTTTTGCTTGTGGCTGCTTGCGGTGTTGCTGCCCAAATGGCCCTGTGTCTGTGAGGATGCGAAATGCTCAAAATCCTCCGTCTGATCCACATGTGCAGCAATCGGCGACACCCTTCTCCATGTGCCAGTGCTTCAACCACGAATGCAGGTGCAAACGACATGAGAAACGCAAGGCCATGAGCAAAGTGTGCAAAGTCGGGGGGAAGGCACCTGCTCCAGCAAGATCTCCTTGGTGTCCGTCAGGAGCACAACGTGGTGTCCGACGAGTCGAAAGCAGGGCTTCAAGGGCTGGTGTGTTTTCTGGGGGTTGGGCCGACGAATTGTTGTCTCGAAAAGCGTAAACAAGATTCATCCACAACTCCAGGAAACAACACATCTGCTATTCGCGTAACAGTAATGCTCTTGTCTTAAGTTCTTGAAAGACCCTGCTCCTTGCATGCAATCAGTATCAATTTCGAAACCGTCCACCGTGTTCTTAGACATGTCGGATCTCTTTGCACCGTAGATATTTCAAGCCGCAGGTGTAAGGTTGTCAACTCCCGATGGATGGATAAAGTACGCGTGGGGATTGTTATGTATTATGGGGGTGGCCTGAACTTCAAAATGCCCAGGTGTGGTGCACCATGGAAAAAGGCCCGAGGGGTACGGCTATCCCGGCCATACGCGCATCCCTGCCTAAGTTTACCCCTGAATGACCCCCAACAAGGTCCAGTGTTCCTTCCTCTACTAAGGACTGCACTTCAGCACAACGGCTCCTTGTGAAGCTGCCGCGTATCCTCTGCTGACCTGGCAGCGCATCACAGAGAACCCTGCAGGGCTCAGGGTGGAGATGTGGCCCCAAACCCTACAAAATTGTAGGTTATGACCCCTGAATTAGAGGGTAGGGCCCTTACCTACTTGTCGGGTATCATGGGGAACTACATTAACTGCATGTTAACCTTTTTGGTTATATATGGGGCTGTATATATAGGACTATATACTACCCCAAAAAGGTTAAAGGTTGCCTACTCGACTACTAGGCCTAGGCTTACAACGGTAGCTGGTTGGATCCCCAGGCAAGGGTTTGAGGTTTGGGGGGGTTTAGGGGCTTAACCTGAACCCCCCCGTGATCGAATACTGTGCTGCCGAAACAGAAGACCCAACAGCATAGATCCCAATACAACGGCCTTAGAACAGGGCTGGGGAGTATAGGTATAATGGGACTGTAAGGGAATATGAAATCAATATGAAATACTGATGGCGCTATGAAAGTCTAGGTAACTATGCTTAGGGCTCAGGGTCTTTACTATAGATAGCTAGACTTTAGGAACTTTAGGGACTCATAATTTGGTAATGGTGCAGCCATGGTTTGCTTCACTGAGACTTCCAGTACGTCCAGGATTTTTCTTACAAGCACCCCCAACCCACCCCAAACAGCTCCTGCGAAAAACCTTTCCTCACTGAACCTACCCCGATAACCTTTTCCAAAAAACCTAAACCCTGTATGCTACAACCCTGTAAACAAGACTAAGACTCTTATAGACCTCTTATGAACTCTTATGACGGACCCTTGTGGAAAACTTGAAGAACGAAGGCCTCCAAACCCGACAAAAACTATCACAATTACAAACAACCGAAAATCCTAGAGTAACAATGTTGGAATAGCAAGATAGATGAAGCAAATCCAGTAGAGATAAACCCCAAACCCCTCAACTCTTAAACCCCGAACCCCTAAACCTTAAATCCCTAAACTCCTAAAACCCGAAAAGACCTCCGAAATCCGAACCCTGGCTTGGCCTCAGCTTGTTGAAGAACGTGGGCTTGCGAGGTGGCTCCTCTGGCACCTTTTGGGCTTACGGGTCTCTGGAGGGTTAGGGTTTTAGGGTTTATGAGCTTTAGGGTTTAGGAAAATAATTTATTGAACTCCTTTTTGAGGAATATAGGGTTTAGGGTTTAGAGTTCTAGGCTTAGGGGTTGAGGGTCTGAAAAACGACGCCAAAACCCTTATAACCTGAATCCTGAAAAGTGAACCAACCCAACTGCCATAAACACTAATCCGAACACATTCAGCAACGCTCAACCCCGAACTGCAGATAGGAAAACTCCGAAACCGTTGCATTTCAAATGCTCCAAGACCCTAACCCTAAGCCAAAAAAGAACATACAGACATCTGAGACACTGGTATAGAAGCTTTAGTGATTACTCAACATATTCCTTCGGGTTCCGTACTATAGCCATGCTATAGCACAAGCCAGTTCTAATTTACCCAGAGGCCCCAAAGTAGTTCCTTTTTGGGGTTACCCTATAGGATTCTATATATGAACCCCCAAAAGGAACTACTTTGGGGCCTTTGGGTATCAACCAGCCCGAAGCGGCAGAGATTCGGCCTCACTTGGACTTTCCGTGGGCCCACCATAGCTTGCCAGTTTCAGTTCCGCCTGAAATGCGCGCGGGCAGTCCAATGGGCTCTAGATTCTTGAGTTTTGCAGACTTTGCACCAGGGTCGTTGACCCATTTGGACTTTTAATAAACTGCGCAGGTGAAAGGTTTGGGCTTAAGGTTTACGCAGGGTGTATAGGGCAGGACTTCGGAATCTGGAGGCGGGGCTTTCGCGCTTCGGGGGGCGCGATGACGAGACCTAAGCCCTGGACTTGTATACACCCCAAACCCTGGCGAAGGTGGCTCAGAAGGCTTCGTGAGTGCTCACAACCATTCTATCACAAGCAGTTTCAGGGAGTTTTGTACCGATCGCTTCATGGAACGACAAGGAAACTGAACAAAAGCATGCCAAACTTTACAAGAATCTGTCAACTTCATGTTCAGGAATGGCTGCCGCTGGCATCCTTATCCCCTGACCTCTAAACCCAGAACGCCCAAGCCCTTAAAGACCCGAATACATCCCAATACATTCTGATCCTAGCCCCCCCCCCGAGAGCTTCCAGGAGCAGCCTCTGTGAATCCCTCTTGAGCCTGATATTAACAACTACATTTGAAATCCCCGAAAGCCAAAACCCTAAACCCTACACCCGCCGCCTGCCCTAAATCCCTTCATTTAACTACCGTGTAGGGGTTTGCCAGTTGGGGTGTAGGGTTGAGGGAAAGCACAGGACTCCGCATGGCTTGTATGGGCTGCTTCTGGCAGTAGGGCCTCGTTATGCCAGCTTGTGGCCGAAGTCTCTAGACCAAAATCTTTAACCTCTGCCTCTCTTGGACAACCCTCCAAACCCTGCATAGCCCTAAACTTCCTGAACCCTAAACTCTAAATTGAAGCAAGAGAAACCTGCTCCACAGCGAGGTCCAGGTGCGCCGCTGGGCGATCCTTCTTGAGGTCCTCGTGATCATCCGGAAATCCAAGAGCCGAAAGAGAGTTCGGGATAGTAGTACAATATCGACGCCTAAGTAATTACCGATAATGCTTTCGGTGCTCCTTCTTATAGTCATAGTAAAATATACCCCAATACTTTATTCCACTACCCGATAGTAGATAATGCCCCTACTTGACTCTCGCCTATAACCGGGCAGAACCTCCGTGAACCCTAAACTCTAAACCCCTAAACCGCTAAGCCGTAAACCATACCTTGTGAAAAAGCGACCCCTGCGACCCTTTGAGACCCTTGCGGAACCGTACAGGAAGTCGTAGGGGCTGATGGGTTTAGGGGGTAGGGGCTAGGAGGTTTAGGGTTTAGGGGTCAAGGGGTTTAGGGTTTAGGGGTTTAGGGTTTAGGGGTTTAGTGTTTAGGGGTTTAGGGGTTTAGTGTTTAGGGGTTTAGTATTTACGGGTTTAGGGTTACCTTAGCCCCAAGAAGCTTAAGCTATGTTAGCAAGTTTCAACTCGGGTTCGGGGGTTAGGCTTAGGGTAGGGTAGCTACAAAGAAAGTCAAGGCCAAGACTCGGCGGCGCCGACGACGCCCTCGCGGCTTAGGCGATGGAGGAGCGAGTCAACCGATCTCTGCAACTCCTGGTTGGTTTTACTTTCTGCCTTAGGGCTTTAGGGTTAGATTGGGGGTACCCTATTGTGGGTTTAGGGCTTTAGGGTTAGATTAGGGATGATTGGGGGTACCCTGTTGTGGGTTTAGGGTTTAGGGCTTCGGGGTTAGTCCCAAACCCCAAACCCTGAAGCCGAAACAGTAAACCCGAAGTGTAAAATTGAAGGCGTAGCTTAGGTTTAGAATGAGGTCCAAGGGTTGGGCTTTCGAGGAACTAAATCCCAGAGTTCGTTCAGGGATCTTGAACGGTTCTCCTTGATTTTGCAAGCTTCGGGTTGGGGGTCTAGTTGTTGATGGGTTTAAGGGCTCCCTGGATCCTAAACCCTCAAGTAAAAGATTATTTTGGGATTTTCGTGGGTTCTTAAGTTAATGGTTCCTTCTATGCAGTCTTCGCGGTTTGGGATTGACACCATACAGTAATAGTCCAAAACAATGGTACTATTAAACGGCCTTCTATACCTTTATCATGAGTACTCCTCAATTGTTACTGAGTGGGCGCAGCAGTATTCAATAAACCCCAAAACCTTTAACCCAACCCTAAACCCTTAAACCCTAAACCCTTAACCTAAAACACCAAACCTTAAGCATTTTTTGGCTTTGTGGCTTGGGCTTCGGGGTGTAGGGTTGGGAGAGCACAAGCCCACAACTCACGGACATCAGGGCCTCGAATACGAACATGTCAGTAAGTGGTTGAAGTTTTTGGGCTTCGGGTTACAGTTTATGGGTTTAGGGGTTTAGGGTTGAGAGTTCAGGGTTTAGAATGCAGAGTTTAGGGAAGTTTAGGGTTTTAAGGTGTTCAAAGACTGAAGTGATATGGAAGGTCCTATGCTGCGTAGACAGGGCCGCCCAAAAAGCATAGAAGCATATAAACTTCCTTATCATGAAGCCCACTAGTGTAGGGCTATCCCTATAAAATGCTTATGCTTCTGTTTTCCGGGGTCCCGAAGTAGATCTGCTTCATGAAGGCCTCTGTAACTTTGGAGTCTTTGCTTGTTGAGGCAGGGGGTGTGACCAGTTTGGGTTTAGGGTTTAAGGTTTAGGAGGTTTAGGGGTTTAGGGATTTAAGGGTCTAGGGGTTTAGGGGTTCGAGGATTTAGGGGTTTGGGTGCTTCGTAGAAAAGCTTTTTCCTAAAAACTCCCAATTGAGGGTCCTGTGAATGTGAAAGCCTCACATGCCATCAACACGACTCGTTTGGGAAACCCTCCCATAACCACCCTAAACCCTAAACCCTAAACCCCTAAACCCTAAACCCTAAACCCTAAACCTTAAACCCTAAACCCTAAACCCTAAACCCTAAACCCTAAACCTTAAACCCTAAACCCTAAACCCTAAACCTTAAACCCTAAACCTCTATATCATATGATAATTTAAACCCTAATCCCTTCGTCGTTTAAGGTCAACCCCTTCGTCGTTTAAGGTCAACCCCTTCGTCGTTTAAGGTCAACCCCTTCGTCGTTTAAGGTCAACCCCTTCGTCGTTTAAGGTCACCCCCGGGTTTTTGACCTTAAACGACGAAGGTTTGACCTTAAACGACGAAGGGTTCACCCTAAACGACGAAATTTGACCTTAAACGACGAAGGGCCTGACCTTAAACGACGAAGGGGTTGACCTTAAACGACCAAGGTGCTCGTCGTTTAAGGTCAACCCTTCGTCGTTTAAGGTCAAACCCTTCGTCGTTTAAGGTCAACCCCTTCGTCGTTTAAGGTCAATCCCTTCGTCGTTTAAGGTCAACCCCTTCGTCGTTTAAGGTCAACCCCTTCGTCGTTTAAGGTCAACCCCTTCGTCGTTTAAGGTCAACCCCTTCGTCGTTTAAGGTCAATCCCTTCGTCGTTTAAGGTCACTCCTAGGGTTTAGGGCCTAGGGCCCTAGGGTTTAGGGCCTAGGGTTTGGGCTTTAGGGTTTAGGGCCTAGGGTTTGGGCTTTAGGGTTTAAGGCCTAGGGCTTGGGCTTTAGGGTTTAGGGCCTAGGGTTTGGGCTTTAGGGTTTAGGGCCTAGGGTTTGGGCTTTAGGGTTTAGGGCCTAGGGTTTGGGCTTTAGGGTTTAGGGCCTAGGGTGTAGGCTTTAGGGTTTAGGGCCTAGGGTTTGGGCTTTAGGGTTTGGGCTTTAGGGTTTAGGGCCTAGGGTTTGGGCTTTAGGGTTTTGGGGCCTGGGGTTTGGGTTTCAATTCTGCAAGAGGTATTGCTTCCTAACGCCCCAATAAGCGAAACAATTCTGCAAGAGATTTCCATTCCGAACGCCCCAATAAGCGAAACAATTCTGCAAGAGGTATTGCTTCCTAAAGCCCCAATAAGCGAAACAATTCCGCAAGAGATTTCCATTCCGAACGCCCCAATAAGCGAAACAATTCCACAAGAGGTTTGCCTTCCAAACGCCCCAATAAGCGAAACAATTCTGCAAGAGATTTCCATTCCGAACGCCCCAATAAGCGAAACAATTCTACAAGAAGTTTGTCTTCCTAATGCCGCAATAAGCGAAACAATAGGTTAACAATTCCATCCATAAGTGCAGGTGGAGGAATCTAAGGTAAGTCTAAGCTCGACAACCTTAAAGAATTAAATCAGCTGTGGGAGCAATATGAACTGTTGTATTTTCCTAGTGGTGTGGGAAAGCGACATTAAAGTGTGACAGGTTAGGTTGCAGGTAGAACTCTCTGAATGATGATGAAAGACTTTATATGGCTTATGTTATGGGATTCTAAGGGTGGGTGGGTGTTATTTCTAAACCGTAAATACAACTCTACTTTAGAACTGCTCGATCCGGAGCTGCTGAACCCTAAACCCTAAACCCTAAACCTTAAACCCTAAACCCTAAACCCTAAACCCTAAACCCTAAACACCTAAACCCTAAACCCTAAACCCTAAACACCTAAACCCTAAACCCTAAACCCTAAACACCTAAACCCTAAACCCTAAACCCTAAACACCTAAACCCTAAACCCTAAACACCTAAACCCTAAAGCCCTTGAGCCCCTATGTCCCCATTACCTTGCAGGAATCCCGTAAAGGCAGGAACCCTTAAAAAAAGGAACCCAAACCCTATACCTAAAAACCCCAAACCTCTGAGACCCCGAAACCCTGAAGCCCGAAACCCTCTACACTAAAAGCCCGAAAAGCCCCAAAACCCTATAGGCCCCTATAGAACACTTATGGGTCTCTTTAAAGGATGAATGCCCTGGGGCTCCGGATGAATATAAAGGCGCACCCTAAACCGCTAAGGCTTGAACCCCTAAAGTCCTAAGCCACTCCGAGGCGCAGCATTCTGCCGCTGAAGTTGGAGCATGCTCTCCGAGGAGCGGAACTGGTTCTCTTGGATCCTCCGAGTTTCCCAAACCCTCGGGAGGATCAGGTTTAGGATGTAGGGTTTAGGGCTTAGGGTTTAGGTAGGGTTTAGGGGATTTAGGGTTTAGGGGCCCCCCGGGAGGATCATGGGACTTGGTAGGGTTCCTTTCAGGGCTCCTTTATTTCCAACTTTTTGGGGTTTACTGTACGAGTTTGGGGGTTACGATTAGGGTATATGCTAGAAGGGGCCCCCACCCTGTAATAGTGGTGTAATAGGAATATAATAGGGCCCTAATATAATCCTTATCCTTCGAGTCTTTGGGACGTACCCAGAGGCCCCAAACAAAGTAGTTCCTTTTGGGATTACCCTATAGGATTCTATATATGAACCCCAAAAAGGACCTACTTTTGGCGCCTTTGGGTAGGGGTGTAGGGTTTCCCTGTGGCGCCAAACCCTACAAAATAGTAGGTTATGACCCCATAATCAGAGAGTCGAACCCTTAAAGCGGTAGGTTTTGGGATCCACAGGTCGGGTTTAAGGTTTAGGATTTAGGGAACCTTAGGGGTTTAAGGAACGGTTTACGGTTCAAGGTTTAGGGGTTTGGGTGTTTGGGGTTCAGGATGGGTTTAGGCACATTTTTGGGGGGTAGTTAGGGGGGTTTGGGGTTTCAAGGAACTTTAGGGGTTTCGGCGGTAGTAGGGTTTGGGGAATTTAGGGAACTTCAGAGGCCTCAGGGACTTTTACAGGGCTTTTAAGTAACCAGGGAAAAAAAGTATAAACTTTAATTTCACAAGGGTTCCTTTAAGAAAAAAAGTATTAAAGTATGGTACTTCAAAGCCCAGTTTAAGGGTTTATTAAACCCTAAACCCTAAACTCTACAGCCTGTAAACCCCGACCCCTAAAAGGGTTTAGGCAAGCTTAGGCCTAGAAACTTCAAGGGTTTCGGCGGCGTGGGGTCTGGAGATCTAGGGAATTTTCAGGGGTTAGGTGGTTTGGGGTTCACTGTTGAGGGATTTAAGGATTTAAAGAAATCTAGGCGGCAAGGCTAAACCCGTAATCCAACATCCTCAAAACCCCCACACCCCTGCACAAATTCATAGAACCCTGTCGGAGCCCAAAAAGCTGTCTTCAGCCCCCACAGATCAGGCCCCAACTATACAAACAGAAGCTACTTTGGGTCTTTAAGGCCTATGAGCAAAGACCGACCTTGAGCTGATAGAAGGGTTACCCTAAACCCCTTTACCGTAAACCCTACACCCTGAACCCCTATAAACCCTTAACCCCTAAACCCTACACTCTGAAGCCTAAACCCTAAACTTTAAACCCTAGACCCCTAAACCCTGAACCCTTAAACCCCAAACCCTAAACCCCTAAACCCTACACTCTGAACCCCAATACCGTGAACCCTACACCCTCAACCCTTTGACTTTCTTCTTTCGGAACCTCCGTAGGTCGCCCAGCAGGTCACCCGAAGCTCCTCTCTGAGCGTTGCGAGGCTTCGGGCTGTGGGGTTTTTGAGGCATTTGGGAGTTTCCGAAAACTAGGGGGTACCTTATTTGGGGTCCTTGAAATAAGGATCCTATTCTTTAGGGTACTATATGAGGGTCCCCTATTTTCGGAAACTTCCATTTCGTGCTTTTTGAGTTGTGGTCACGGTCAAGGGTTTAGGGTTTAGGGCTTAGGGCTTAGAGGCTCGTGCGTATACCTTAACCCTGAATATCCTAGCCTTTTTGAGCACGTAATATAAGAAAATCAAGATAACGAACGCTAAACGGGCAGGTTATTCAGGGCCAAGGTAGAGTTTAGATGAGTTTAGTATTTAGGGCCTTCTGCTTTCTACGTTTTACAGGGTTTAAGAGTTTAGTGTTAGGGTGTAAGAGTTTAGATGAGTTGAGTGTTCATACGTACGGATTTTCAGCTGCGCAATTGTATACAATAGCCTGAAGCTTGACATTGCAAAGTGTCATCTTGGTAGAGTATAAACCGAAGAGTCGATGCTCTTAGCTCTCATCTTGCATTATACGGTGCAGCAATATTACTCCGAGGTCCATGCAGTCAGTTGTCCTCTTGCGCTGCTTGTTGTCAGGACGAGAGGATGCACCAAGGGCTGGGCAAAATCCACAGCCTGCCGGCCAAAGACAGCAACCACGGGGTCCAAGATCATGCATTGGTGACACCAGCCAGCATTGGCACACGTGCCGTCTTGCTCGGCCCAAAGCAAATGACGTTGGCCAGGGTTGCCGCAAGGAGCTCAGGGTCCACCGTGGCCTGGTTCCTGCGGAAGAAGTCGGAAGCAGCCGAGGCCCAGCGACACTCCCCTGCGCAACTGCAGTCACCAGTGGAAAGCCTCTGGATCAAGGATCAATCTGTCCTAACCTCAAGGTCATGCTGCTCCTTGGCTTTTTGCCACTGCTCTGCCCCAGCAATCAGCTCAGCAAGCCGCTGCAAGCGTGCGAGCCGTTTTGCTGCACATATGCAAGCACGGCATTTGGAGTGGTGAGGTTCTTGTCAAGCACCAAGGCTGTGAAGTCCATGAGGTTGAACTTGGCCACTTTGGCCTTCTTGCCAGCAGCGGAAGCAGCACCAGCAGCAGATGCTTCTGCTTTCTGGCGGCGCTTGGTCCACATGCTGGCATTGAAAGGCTCCTGCGCTTCCTCGTAAAGGTTGACCTCGACTACGACGGAGTTCAAGCGAGGGGCAGTAAACTCTAGGGCTTGACCATGGCCTGCGACTGGCTGCAAGACACCAACCGACCTCAGAAAAACCAGTGGGCACTGGTCCACCGCTGGCTTGTGCTCGGTCGTAAAGATGCCATATCTCACAGCACTCCACCACTGACTGTGCGAGGTGCTCCAGTGCGAAGCCAGGCCGGAACGCTGCCGAAGAGCGGTCTTCGGAAAGGCATGAACCGACTGACGGCGCAAATGCAAGCCTGGCCTTCACGTCCTCAGGAGTCAGCACCGGCTTTTCCCGAAGCTTCTGATAGTAGATGTTGCGCTTGTGCAAGGCTTTCAGGACTGATTTCTTGCTTGCTTTGCATTTGGTCGATTTCATTAGCGTCTCCACTGTGATGGTGCATTGGCCATCAGCTTTCACGATGAGCTCATCCAGCCGGCGTTCCAAAAAGTCCACCTTCGCATCGGTCAGCACTTCTGGTCTGCCCTGCTTCATTGCAGTTTTCTTCATACACAGCCAGCGTGTCAGGGTGGATGTGTCCCTGTTGAGGAGCGCTGCGATCTCGGAGGGCTTCTTCTTCTCCTTGTATCATTCCTGGGCAAGTCTCTGCTCCTCCGCGGACATCTTAGTCCAGCCTTCCGCCGGCATTGCGAGAAGCGTCAGAAGCGTTTCGGCTAGAGCTACAGTCGTATGTATAGAGGCGAGTCGGCTGCGACAACTACTACACTTCTCAGACTGAGAACTGACTGTGCTTGTGCGAGCATACATGGCACACCACACCGCATCAGTATTGACAAGCAGTCAAGCTAGCCGGCTGACACACACACAAGCACACATCTAATCCTGCACACGTTGCACATGCTCAGGCGGCACTATGCACGGACATGCTCAGGCTGCACACAAAAGCACACCAGGGCTCACAAGCAAGCCGGCCGACACACAGACATGCCTCTATCAGGTTTGCCCTGGCTCCACAAGGTCCGTACACGGACATGTTGACGCTGCACACAAAAGCACACCAACATGCTGACATGCAAGTAGCGCGAGCACACAGACGCACATACTCTAGATCTTGCACACAATGCACATGCCGCATAGGCACTGGGCCTTGAAGCTCCTGTCAGTTATAGGAACCCGAGCACGCACATGCACACAGACCTTGCATATTGCAAGAGCATGCCGGCCGACACGTCTTCCATGCACTTATCAGCTATAGGAAACATAAGAGCGCACCAGGGCTCACAAGCAAGCCGGCCGACACACAGACACGCCTGTATCAGATTTGCGCTGGCTCCGCATGCATGCACAGACATGTGGACGCTGCAGACAAACGCACACCAAAAGGCTGACACGCAAGTCGGCTGAGCACACGGCACAGACGCACATAGATCTTGCGTGCTGCACACGTTGCACACGCCACAGCGTCAGCTAGGGAACCCGAGCTCACTTATGACATATGCACATAGCATAACGCGCAAACATGTCTTTGACGCACTTAATAGCAAAAGCAATCCTGCAAACAACGGTCATTGGCGGTCGCACTCACACAGCACTATAGCACACCAACGCTGCACATGCCAGATAACTGGACCTACTCAGATGTTTCAGACGCAGTCTATATCGCCAGCACAGGCGATCCTTTTGAACACCACTCACTACACGCGCACACACACACACACACATGTCGCAACGTTTACTAAAGTAGACAGTCGTCTTGGACGGTTGATGCCCTAAATCCTGCATCGGTTTAAACTTCCCCACGGCTCCCCTGCTACCCCCAATTTTAATACTGCACTGACGCAGAGTCAAGAAAAAGGGCTTGCGCGAATGCCCAAAATCCTGCATGACCCCAGGGTGATGCAACATTGAAATTCAGGGGTTGCGGGGAAGTGGACAGCGCGGCATGACATATATTCGATGCTGTAGGTCATGCAGGATTTTGGGCATCAACAGTAGGGCCTTATGCTTTATGCGGTTTATAGGGTTTAAGGGCTTAGATGAGTTTAGTGTTTAGGGCCTTATTGCTTTATACCGTTTATAGGGTTGGGGGGGTTAGATGCGCTTAGTGATTAGGGCCTTCTGCTTTAGAGTGTTTATAGTTTCTAGGGTTTAAGGGTCTCCATGGGTTTAGTGTTTATAGGGATTTATACTTTCTCACTGGCCCAAAACCCAAGGACATAAAAGTTGAAACTTTCAGAACCGACTACCTTATAAGAGCCCCAAAAGTTGAAAAGTTGAGTTTACAGCCATTATACTTTATGCGGTTTATACGCGGCTTAAGGTTTGTAGGGTTTGGGATTCATGGGGTTTGGGTTTAGGTTTTGGTTCTGACTAAAATTCCTGAAAGGCGGTCTTTTGCAAGGGATTCCGTTAAGGGATCACCGATGTAAGTCTATTAACATGCTCCTTGAAATTTACAGTGTTTTGGTGGAGTTTGAGGCGATACGGTTTGAGGGCGTAGAGCTTTATGCGAGGAGCCCTTGTAATCTAGGAATAAACCTGGCTCCGTTGCAGTTCTCGGCAGTTTTATAGGAAACCTAGGACCGCACGAGGGAAAAGTGGCCACTGCCAAACCTAGTAATAGAGCAATTGGGACAAGTAGTCTTATACCTACGGTCCTAGCCCCAATATGGCTAACCTACTTGGAGGTTCATGGGTAGTTATAAGTGGGGTTATAAGTCCCCCTAACATGGGTAATAAGTATAGATACAATGCTCGTACCCCTACTTATAAGTACCCATGAACCTCCAAGTATTGAAGCAGAGTAGGATTGGGGGAATTGGTTCGTGTTTCGGCTTGGGGTTTCGGGTGTTGGGTCATGGTGCTGAAGCTTCAGGGTGGGCTTCCGCTCTAGGTTTCGGGCCTTATAAACTCCCTTTAAACCTAAACTCTCAACCTTAAACCCTAAAACTCTCAACCCTAAAGCTCTCAGCCCTAAACCTCAGACCCTCAACTCTCAACCCTAAACCAACCTCTCAACCCCAAACCCTTAACGCGAGGCTCTGAAGCGACGACCCAGGCTGTCCTCCCGTAACCTCTTTGGTCACATCCGCCGGTATCCGCGGCATGCGCGCATCGCCGGCAGCCGGCAGACCCGGCATCGGCATTGCAATGGGCTCAGGGTTTAGGTTTGCTCTTCTTGTCGGCGTGGCTCGAGTCTGTACGGTTGACTGTTTAGGTTTGATTCATTCATCTAGTTGTTGATTGTGATGTCTCACGGATCTCATCTTGAACATCTTCTTCTCAGCCCCCATCGTCTTCCGCGACATTGATAGATGGAGGATTATATGATTGTGACCGATGCCTAAGATTATTAGTACCGAGGCTTCAGGCCCAAGAGGTGGTGAGCAACATTATCACTCGTGCTGCCTTGGGCCGTACGGTTTTGAGGGGTGTAGAGTTTACGAATTAGGTTAAAGATTTGGGCACCGTGAATCTTTGCGCAACTACTCATAGCCAGACAAGGATCATCAAGATGCCATCTAAATCCTTGTCGCTTGACTTACTCCCCCAATAAGCCGCAAAAATGAAAGGTTGAATTTCGGATTCCTACTAAACGATAAGAACCCAACAAGTTTCAAGGTTGGGCCTTGAGGATCTAAGTTGAAGGTGCGATATCTTTGGCAGGTCGCTTGAGCTGCCACAGCTGCGAGAAGTTGGGCCCAATGGTTTAGGCGAGAATGTTTCAGCTTCAGTGGAGACGTGGAATTCTGGGATCACAAGATTCATTAGACCGAAGAGGAACCTAGGAATAAAAAGGGCGCCCCTGTTGGTTTAAAGGGGGTTCTAAGGGCACCTGAACCCTGGAAAAGGAATAAGGGCCTACTCTGGGTCCTAGTTCACGAGACTAACAAACCTTTGAAGTACTTACTTGGCCCAGCCTTCAGTCAACACCAAACGACCCCTCAAGATGACAGAAAACATGGCCCTTCACAGTTAGAGAAGGTTGCGGGCTGCACTGTCGCATGAGCGGACACGCATTATCCAGATCTCTATGTTAAGCCTTGTAAGCACCAAAAATACCGATTCGGTGAGGATTTTCGTTGGAAAGGAAGGGAGGCAGTCGTCTCTGTCGTCGTCGTCGTCCCGCGAACCCCAACAGGCATTCTAAAGGAAGGCTGTAGGAAACACAAATTTGATGCTGTTGCAGTGAGGCGCAGAAACTGAGCAATTGATGTCACTATAACGATTTTTTGCTATCTTGATTACGATGATGATGATTGTTATTGTTGCTAGTATGATCAGCGACTGTTGGGTTCATTTTTGAGCTGCTACCACACAAACAAAGCTTAGAAGCGTGGCTCTCTCATATGCTCTTGCGCCAGCCAAAATACATTTTTTGATTTCTGGATATCTCTGGGGACTGTCATAGCTCTTAACCTTAAATCACCAACCCGATCATCCCTACACTGCGATGTTTCGCCACACCGCGAGGCGGACTAGTCTCAATAGATTAGATGTAGACAGGGTCTACATACGCTACTATCATGGAATTAGGCCCCTAAAACCACAATAAGGATGGTCTTTTGGGACCTGATTCAAAAAATAGCAGTGTGCATGGTCCCCTGGGCTGACGGCTGCTCTGCTCAGTCGGAGCTGACAATACATGCATATGAAACCCAACAAAACCGCTGACCTCAGTCAGAAGCCTGACTCTCACAACCTCCAACTGCACGCCATGATGCGCCTAATCCCTGCCGCCCTACGCCACAGCTCAACAGCATAGCATGTACCATAATATACTCTTATATATCATCATTAGAACATAGTAGTAAAGTACACGATAGACTATAGTATCTTATAATAGTAGAGTACAGTATGCACAATCAGGGCATGCATAGTCCCAGAAAGAGTGCCTTGGAGACGAGAAGATGCCGCACAGCAAAAGCGTCCACGTAGCCTCCGAAGGCAACCTCTGAAGGGGGTTAAGATTTGCCTTCGGTGTTCAGGGTTTTAGGGTTTAGGGGTAAAGGGTTTAGGGTCTATAAGCTTGAGATTTGGGGTCCACGGTTTAGGGATGCGGATGGCTTTCGGATGGCTTAAAGTCCCAGAGTCTCCACCGCAGTTAGAGTTTGGGTGAACCACGGACCCGAAGAGAACCAACTGCAAGAATAACAAGAATACCAGTAATTGTAATCATGAAAATAACTAGTATTGTCATAATGTAGTAGTAATAACAATAATCGTTATATGACATAAGCCACAAGAAAGACCCCTTGTCTATATATCCCTCGTTCAACTAGCACAAAACCGAGCGGGACCCAGTCCAGTTCCCTGGCCCCTGCTCATGAAACCCTGGAACTCCAGTTACCCAAATAGTAGGTTACTACGGCTTTAGGTTTCGGGTTTAGGGGTTGAAGGTTTAGAGTTTAGGATTTAGGGCCCAGTAAGCCTTCCCACAGAAAACCGACCGTCGCGACATGGGAGGCCTAGACCAAAAGCCCGGGTGCCAAATGGCATACCAGCCGAAAGCAATTCTGCTGCCCTGCTTTGGTCATCGCAGACGAGTGGAACTCGTCGTGAAGTGGTTCGCGCCTCCGACTGTTGAAGTCCCATCAAGAGATTCTTGAAATTCACGGCCGGCTGCTTCTTGGTCATGTCAATGACCTCCTCCACAGATATCCTGCGTAAATCTCTGCTTCTGGGGCTCCAGGTTGGCGGGTCGGGGGTGGGGGAGGGAGCCAAGGGGGGGTGGGCGGGAGGAGAACTACCCTTCTCTGCAGCCTTTGCGTGCATCTCGGCTTTTTGGCCGGCGTAGAGGCATTGTGCTGAAACAGCTTCTGGGTTGCGAATGCGCATTCCGGGGTTCAATCGGCTCCCCAACGCGCTAGTAACCCCAAAACCCTACATTATTTGGGCAGCTGGGGGCCTAGTGAGGCATCCCCAACTACTGCCCAGGGATACCCCAAAGGAGTTGATTGGGCCTCGGGTCGAGGGTTTAGGGTTGTAGGGTTACGTTTAGGTTTTTGAAGGGTTAAAGTTCAGGGCTAGGGTGTAGGGCAAAGTTTACTTATTCGGCATCTTAATTGACGATGGCTTGCCTTCACAACAGATTCGAGCTCCTAGAGAAGGGGAGAGTGGGTTCACCCCAAAAGCGTCCCTGGCTCCTTTCTTTGGGCGTTGCATGCTGCTAGCTTAGGGTAGGTTAGACTCTTGCACCGGTCCCGTCCACGATGAGTCCAATACCGCGGCGTTGGGAGAATTTACTATAAGGGCCTTAGTAATTAGAATAGAGTGTTGGGGCCCAGTACACTATAATTATAATAAAGAACCCGCAATGTTATGGGCCCCTATATTGCCGGATTACCAAAAAGAACTACCGCCTCTTCCTCCAGTTCCGTAACCCCGAGCCTCAGTCACACCATTCCATGCCATTCGATGGGAACTACATTCAGACTATAAAGATTGCTGGCATTCTCTCCGTGCTCCTATACAGAGCAGGTGATCTACCTCCTTCTAGGACGCGCCGTCTTGCGATTCTGTAAACCTGAACACCGATCAGAGCCCATCACTCCAGTCCCTTCACCGTGAATAGGCCCTAACCACTCAAGTTCATGTTCCTCAACCTACAGCGGAGTACTAGACATGATTGACGGTATACTGCTCGCGTACGGAGCATTGGGCTTGCTCTGGCATCCAAATTCCATCACATTCCCAAGACCCAAACCCCAGCAATCCACAGCAAAGCCTCGAGATGCGAGTTCAAAACATAACAATTAATAGTATCCCTCGCCCCTACGCCCTGATATGTAACCATGTTGAACTCAACTATGACATTTTCAATGGCGTGCGCACAGGAACGAACTGCATTTCAAACGCCCCCTGTCTCGCGACCTTGCCAACCTTCAACCTCAAAACCCTAAACCCTAAACCTTAAACCCTAAATCCAACACCAAAACTTAGACCGTTAAGCTAAATCATGCTTCAGGGCCTGGGATTTGTGGTTTGTAATCCCTGAGTCCCATATTTCCAAGCCTCAAAACCATGTACCCTACTACACCCCACCACCTTCAAATCCTACATCCCTGATTGCTGAAGCCGTGAAACCACAAAAACCTGGTAAGGCCTCCAATCCCACGTAGCTCAGGAGGAACGCACCTTGAACAAGGTTCGGGGTTTAGAGTTCAGGGTTTAGTTGGGGTTGAAGGGTTTAGGGTTTAACGTTTAGGGTTTGAGGGTCTAGGGTTTAAAGTTTAGGGTTTAGGGGTTCAGGGCATAGGGCGGTGGAAGTAAGGCCGAGTTCAGGGTATCTTGTATTCATATTAGGGAACACAAGGGCAGATTACCAAACCTTCGTCACGATCGTCGGAGATGGAGACTGTGTTGTGTAGGGTCCAGAGTTTCTCTCGCTGAACAGTTTCTACGGTGTCTTGGGGTTAGAGTTTAAGGCTTTGGGTTTATAGTTTAGTTTCGGCTTCCGGGACTTTAGTCTAGGTTAGAGTTTAAGGCGTAAAATTTAGTCTTTACCCCAAACTCTAAGCCCTTAACCGTACCCTACCTTAAGGCTCCTGGACCTTTGTAGTGAGATCCCGGACCCTAGCCCCCAAAGCCGAAACCCTGCCCCAGAAAGCCCAAGACCCTCTTAGGAGCCTTAGGGTAAACCCTAAATCCGGTTTAGTGTGCTGTTGCGAAGAAACCCAGACGCTGAGGCCGCAGACCCTAAGGCGGCCTCAGACCAAGCCGTCCTACGGCACAAAACCCCAAGGGTCCATGTACCCACATAGGGATCCTCTAAGAATTCCTTGAAGATTTACTCCAAGGACTCTATAAGGGTTTTACTTGAGAACAGGTATCCATAATCCCTGTACAAATAAGGGTAGTTGTCAAGATTAGGGTTCCTTTTTGGGTACCCTAAGTATTAGGTGCCGTATTACAATAGGGACCCAAAAAGGGACCATAATTTTGACAACCACTCATATACCGTATACTACTTTCCTGGAACCCCGTACGATTCGTGAAGGGCTATTCAACCCCAGTAATCCGAGCGTAAATCAGTTAACACCCAACTTTGATCGTTGATGCCCCTATGTATCCGGTTTCGCTAACCCTATTTATGTCCGAAGTCCCCAGAACCCTAAACCCTATGACTTAGAAGCTGCCCCCACCCTGTAATAGTGACCATAAGGATTATATAGGATGAAATTAGGGCCCCATTATATTCCTATTATACCACTATTACAGGGTGGGGGCAGCTCCTAACCTATAACCATGAACCCTAAAGAACGAAAACCCTGAAGACCCGAGGCATCCTCAGTAATCCTAAGCCTCAGCTAGGATAGCCAGTAACCTAAGAATAAAAAGGCATCTCTTTTTGGAATTGTGTAACTTTATAAGGAACCTAGGACTACAAAAAGGGAATAGGGGTACTACTGGGCATCCTAGTCAGTCGTAGCCCAGTTGCCAGTCCAGAGGACAACCTTCGGTAGTGCCTTGGTTCCCTTGGCTGGCGCGGGCTTGATGCTTCGGGTGTTTGGTGTTTTGAAAAGGCTCTATAAGGATTGATACAGAGGATGTAGGATTCAGTGAGAGATTTAAGCCTCGGGTTTACTGCGGATGAGGCTCGAGAAGGCTTTCCAGCGGATTGGTCCCTCTTTCTCTCTCTCTCTCTCTCTCTCTCTCTCTGTCTCTCTCTCTGTCTCTCTCTCTCTCTCCCTCTCTCTCTCTCTCTCTCTCTCTCTCTCTCTCTCTCCTCTCTCTCTCTCTCTCTCTCTCTCTCTCTCTCTCTCTCTCTCTCTCTCTCTCTTCCTCCATCTCCGGTACTCGGGATCACAGGCTTCTACGGATTCAAGCCTTCAGGTTTCTGTCTCACAGACCAGCCCAGTTGTGCAGTCTCTGAGGTGAACTAAAGGTTTGCTCTTCGCACTATGCAAGGATTATGGTCACTTATGGCGCCCCAGGAAGGTTAAAGCTTACTTAGGATTGGGGCCTTAATAATTGGAACATGGTTTGGGGCCCTTATACTATAATTACCATCACAAACCTCCCCAAATAGTCTAGGTAATTAGTAAGGCCCCTCATATAGAAGCCTACTAATTATAGATCCCTCATAGACCCCTTTAAAGGACCCCTACAGGTATCTAGGCCCCTTGTACGAATCCAGGAGTCTCCATCCTCGGTGTCCGTGTTCGGCTGCACATGGGAAACCAACAGCCTTGCGAGCGGCAGGGGATCCCGCCTACTTTGCATGTAGGGCTTCTATATTAGGAAGTACGATTATGAGTTGGGGAAGTATTGCCCACAACAGTACGTAGGACCCTTTTGGGAGATTCCCCAAGGGTCCAAGTAATCCTCATTTTTGGCTTCTAATACCAAAAGAACCCAAAGTCCTATAATGTAGGAATACTTGGACCCTTGGGGTTCTGCAAGTAATTACGACAAAGAACCCCTAAACATCCCGCAAGTAGCCCCCAAGCCGTAAAGTCCTACGTAAACCCCAAGACAACTTAAGTTTGCAGAGGGTGAATGCTGAGTCCAGAACGCCAGTGTCAGCAGCGCGGGGAGGAAGCCGGCAACAGGAGAAAACCATGCCTTTCACGAGCTTCGAGTCCTAGTAGGGCCCGAACAATTAAAACAGGGTTTTGGGGCCCAGCTTACTATATTTACAGTAAGGAACCCCAAAATAGCATAGGTAATTATCAAGGCCTCTATGTTAAACCCTGACAAATCCTCTTGCAGCCACATTGCAGTCCCACGACTATGATACTGCACAGGGTTCCACCAAGCCCCTACGGTTGATGATATAAATCCTGCAGTACCTTCAGGACTCTAGACTATGGGAATTACGGCATATTCCTTATATTTTGGGTAATGCAGGGTTATATTATCAACAGTATACGAGTTCTGCATGGCCTGCCAAACCTCCCATCGACACAAAAAGTTCACAGCCCGCAACCTTCTAGGTCGTCCCGGGTTGGGGCTCCGGGCTCCGGGTTCTGAAATTTCATAGGTGAAAAGGGGGGACCCTTAATGGGGACCCTTACCCTAGAATGGGCTATACAATGGCTATAAAATAGCTATATGAGGGGTATATACCTAGGGGTCCTTATTAAGGGTCCCTCCTTTCACCCTTGGAAAATTGAGGTTTTGGGATTTCCGGGTCTGTGAGTTGAAGTTTGGGGTTTGGGGTTTGGAGGGCTTAAGATGTGCCGTGTGGGACTCGGGGTGTAAAATGGGAACTGGCCACTGTAGGAGAACCAGAAGGCATGGAGGGCTTGATATCTTATGCGTCTGCATACAGCATCTTCATTGAATAGTCTAATGGTGTACGATAGCTGCACACTATGCAATATCGGGTCTTGAAAACGGACAGGGGCCTGACAGGTTGCTCGTAGGTGTCACTATATGGCTCCCTCCAAGGACAGGACTCCAACGGTGGGCCATGGGCTCTACCCAACCCCCTGTAAAGATCCGGAAAGTAGATCCCCTGGTTGTTCCAAAAAAAGTACCACTAGTAGTGGAGGGTACACGAAAGCGTCCACCTGAACGAACCTGGGCCCTTGTTCCATGTTGTACTTCCTACAGTCGGGGCTTGTGGAAGGACAATGTGGAAGGAACACTTGCTAGCGACTGAGGCTGGCTAGGTGCCTCAGTGGCCACTTCACGACAAGGCACCCTGTTTCATATTGCGAAATGGGCTCTTTCAAGCACTTGAAAACAGTTGGTAAATCAGATCCTCGACCACAATCTAGGAAGCTCTGGGCCAGTGGCCTACCAAGACCGTCCAGCCCTTATAAGTCACTTCCGAAACCCTACCTCACAAGACTTGGCGTGGAAGTGGACTTCAGGGGCGAGGGTTGTGACTTCAGAATGTTGCGTCTAATGTTGAGCTTGTTCCTTACAGTTGCAGGCATGCCCTGTTTCTCGAAAATATTTAGTCCTAAACCCTATACCCTGACCTAAGTACAATAAAACCCACACAGAGGTCTCCCCCTAAACCCTAAACCTTAAACCCTAACTCATGGTTCTCCTGGTGCCCCCTTTCTAAGATCTTCCCAACATCGCAAGAAGAATCACCGGACCTCTACAGCTGGGCGCTCGTAGGACAAGGCCAGGCCCACGACGAGCGGAGCGATAAAAGCGCCGAGTCCGAAAAGGAAGTGGAAGCCTCATCTTCTCAAAGGGTAAAAGGAGGGACCCCTAATAAGGACCCCTAGGTATATACCCATAATATAGCCCACTGTAGGGTAGGGGTCCCCATTAAGGGTCCCTCCTTTTCCCCTTTGATCTTCGCGAAGTTTAGGAAGGGTTTTTTCTAGGGTTCCTTAAAGGGATCCATAGAAGTCCCTTTAAAGGGATCCATAAGGATTTCTAATTATAGGGTTTAGGGCTTAAGGGATGAAGGTTTAGGGTTCAGGTTTTGGGATTTAGGAGGCCTTTGGGTTTAGGTTTCCTGTGGCTTCCTACACCAGCACCCCCACCCGCCCCGAAGTGCCCTTTTCTAGAGGCCTTTCAGGATATAACGGAAGATAGTTGGAACTAGGTAGGGGCATTAAGATTTTCGATCAAGATTTTGGCGCATGCCGATGGTAGTCTAGCTATATAGCAGGAACTGAACCTGCAAATGCATGCCATTTCCGACTTCCACTATGCCTCAAGGATATATCTCCAACTACGGCCCCGGCAAGACCGAGGTCCTGCTGACGCTCGGTGGACCGGGGGCCACCAAGGTTGGGCACCGCCTCTTTCGGACCGGCGAGGGCACTATCGGACTGGACACGGTCCCTCCCGTCGATGTCCGCTGTGTTTTTCAGTACAGGCATCTTGGGACCATACTGACCGCCAAAGGCCGACCGATCAAAGACCTCCGCATAAAACTTGGCATGGCCAAGGGTGCAGATGCCCCTCTTACCAAGCAGGTCCTTAGGAGGAGGGAGGTCAGGCTTGCCAGTAGAATGCAAATCCTGGATTCGCTAGCCCTCAGCAGAGCATGCTATGGGGTTGCGGTGTGGGGCGCGCCCAGTGTGCAAGCCTAGGGGGTTCAGGTGGAGTGTTTGTATGTCAATCCGAGAACAGTTGACGGATAGATGAGTACAGGTGCTTACTTGGAGGTTCATGGGTAGTTATAAGCAGGGCTATAAGTAGGATAACTATACTTATAACCCATAGTAGGGGACTTATAACCCCACTTATAACTACCCCTGAACCTCCAAGTAGGGGCTTCATGAAGCCCGAGCCAGGAAAAAACTTCACCGAAACCCTGAACCCTAAACCTAAATCCACAACACGAAGCTTAGACCTAACAGTAACCTAGGAATAAAAAGAGTGCCCTTTTTGGTTTAAAGGGGGTTATAAAGGAACCTGAACCCTACAAAAGGGAATAAGGACCTACTCTGGGTTCTAGAAGCAGAATCGCAAAACATGCAAGTGCTACCAGGACCATATGGAGCAGTGCGGAGTTGCACAACACAATCAGCAGATATCCGAAACTGTTCGAAAAATGGGGTTTAGAGGCTTGGGGCTTTTCCATATGTAAAGCTTGAACCCAAAACTTATAGTTTACCGTTTCAGACCGAGGTGTCTAGGGTTGTTTAGTATGCCGGGAATATAGGGCCATGATTGGCCATGATAGTTGAGGGCTGCTGCGGCTACTACAGGGTAGGAGTACAAGCACTACAAGCCCATATTATGAAAATTCGATAAGACCCCTTCAGCTGCATTAAGTGCTGGTATCTGAGACTCAGGGTGCGCTGTACGGCTGGAAGGACGTCCTCAAGGAAAACTCACATCGGTATGAGATCCAAGGCTTGGTAGAGTTTAGACTTTTTGGACTGTTCAGGGTTTTAGCGACTCTGCAGACGCGGCGCCGTGCACAGCTGCATTGACATACCTGCTCCCACGCCACACCGTCAGCATGAGGACGTTGCCGCCCGTGTCAAGCCTGCTTTTTTGAATGATTACGACTATTGCTCGCCATCATGGTTAGTCTTCTTGAATTTCAATACTACGCTATTCAGTGGTAACTGTGCAATGATCGATACATGTAGCAGTCGTAGAACGTCACTGCTGAAATAGCTCAAGCATAGGTGCATTAGTGCAGGTGCGAGTGGCCAAGTATATAGTATAACTCGTAATCGTCGTTGTAGTCGTAATTGTTGTCGAGCCGTAGCAGCGGTAGTAGCAGCAGTAGTGGCAGTAGTAAGTAGTGATTAATTACTAGTACATATTGTAAGATCGTGATGAAGGGAATACAAGAGAATGCTGTTTCGACATTGTTCAGACTCCCTAAACCCTAAACCCTAAGCCCTAAACCCCAAGCCCTAAACCCAAAGCGCTAGACCCTAAACCCTACACCCTGAACCCTAAGCCCTACACCCTAAACCCTAAGCCCTACACCCTAAACCCAGTATCCTCGCAAAAAGCTTCGAGGACGACCCCCGGTCTGCCAGCGCAAAAACCCGAGCAACTCCCCAACCCCCTAAACATTAAGTCCCAAAGTTCAGGGGTTTAGAGCTTAGGGTTTAGGGCTTAGGGTTTAGGGTTCCCCAATGGCCCTTTAATGGAGCCCCTCATGGTCCTCAATAGCGGGTGCTTGGGGTAGAATAGAGGGTAATTGGGGGGGGGGTCTAGGTTTAGGGTTCCTTGTTATAACAATTTCGCTACATAAGGTAGGGTACTTGTGGTGATTGAGATCCCATGAAGAGCCCACTTGCAGCCGAAACCCCTTCGAAACCCCCAGGTCTAGACTCATGATCCGATCCCTTAGATGAACCCTGAGTCGAAATCCTTAACAGGCTCTAGGGTTCAGGGTTTCGGGTGGTTTAGGATTTAGAGGCTCCCTTCAGATGCAGTCACGCAGCAGTCCCATGCAAACCTGAGACGGCGCATGCAAGACTCTTACAGATCCCCCGAAATTTGGCTGAGGGTTGAGGATGTCGGGATCTAGAGTCTTTAACCACTGGCGGGATATTGGGTTTTTTGCGTTACCGTGTCCAACTATACTTATATACGCGGATAACATCCCGCAATATTCGGACCTCCGAAGTATATGTAACAGAGGCGCGGTCGTTAAGAGAGTGTCTTTTCGGCTATAGTAAAGGACAGTCAGAGGATAGTAATTATGTGGGACTTCCTGCCATTCTATTTGGAAAACTTGGACCCCCTCAAAATTGGGAAGACCATAGAACACCCCGGGCTGAAAAATTTGATACCTGAGCCTGAGCACTGCAACTTGAACGAAACAGAACACACAACATGCTTGTCATTGTCCACCCGAGACTCTAAACGCAAAACCCTGAAACCCGCTTCGTGAGCATCAGCAAACAATCGACTCAAACCCCTAATTATACCAGGGTTCTAGCAACCTTTACGGCTCCCTGTGCCTATTAGGCATAGAATGAGGCCTTGAAATAGAACCCCCTTTTCAGGCCTAAATAATTAGAATAGGGTTTTGGGGCCCATTACACCATAAATACTTTAAGGAACCCCCAAAATAGTATAGGTAATTATTGAGGCCCCTGTATTACTAGAAGGGTACATGGAGCCTTGGGGTGAGCAACCCCCAAGGCGCTAAAACTCACATACAACCCCCTTAAGGGAACTCCAGAAAGTTGGAATATGGTTTCAGGGTAGGATACCTTATTATAATTTACCATAGCAGGGCTTAGGATAATCATATTCCAACTTTCTGGCTTTTACTTTAGCACCAAAATAAAAATAGTTCCAAGGGTAAAAGGAGGGACCCTTAATAAGGACCCCTAGGTATATACCCTTAATATAGCTATGATATACCCATTATATAGCCCATTATAGGCTAGGGGTCCCCATTAAGGGTCCCTCCTTTTCCCCCTTGAAACAGTAGCTTCAATATTCTCTCGGGTTTTATATGGACAGAAATAAAAAGTAATTCCTAAGGAGACTAGACCCAAGAGTAACCTGGGAATAAAAAGGGTGCCCTTTTTGGTCTAAAGGGGCTTGTAAGGGAACCTGAACCCTACAAAAAGGGAATAAGGGCCTACTCCAGGTCCTAGGAGACTATAGCTTGTAGCACCCTGCTGAAGGCCTGAAGTCCCCCTTACGAAACACCGAGCGGGGGGCCCCCTGCAGCGCTTGCGAGGTGTAGGCCAGAGTGAGGTGTCGAATGAAAGGCACCTCAGATTCGGGCTCACGGTTCGGCTTCGGGATCACTTTGAGGGCCCCTCTAAGGGTTGTATGAGGGTTCTTTTTGTATGTTTATCGCGTTTGGGGGTGTAGCTTTCGTAGGAAGGACGTAGTAAAGAGGGGAAGGGCTTGGGTTTAGTTAGGCTTCATGAGGGATGGCAAGCCTACATGAAGTGAATGTTTATGGCTGTACCCCGGGTGGCTAAAACATACACTTGCCAAAAGATCCGACTGAGCCTCATACAAAGTCAGGATAACCCTGACAGAAACCCTGCTTCACGTAAGATTGGAGCAAACCCTAAACCCTAAACTCTAAACCTGGAGCCTTAACAAAATTACACTGGGGTTTTGGGGTGTATTGTAGAATCCTCGTGTGAAGGAGCCCATATCCAGGCAGCTGGACCGGCTTCCTGGTTCAAGGGCCCGTAATCTAGGGGCCTTAATAATTAGAATAGGGTTCCTTTAATGGGGCCTATAAGGGTTACTATAAGGAATACTTTAAGGGATCTATAGTATAGGGGCCTTAATAATTAGAATAGGGTGTTGGGGGCCCGCTACGCTGTAAATATGATAAGGAACCCCCCAAATAGTATCGGTAATTAATTATTAAGTATTTAAGCCCCTAAAGCATAGGAATGAGAACCCGTCGAGGCCAGTGCGTCAGGTCGGCTTATGGGGCTTTGGTTTCAAACGTTGAGTACTGCCCCCATACAGCAGCAGTCTCCTATTGGGCTACTAGTAAGGGGCTAATATATCGAAATATATCTATACTATGAATATGATCCAACTGTTATTGAGTGGGGGCAGTATCCAAGGTTTACGGGTTTGGGGCCTGCTGCAATTTACAAGTGCGGTGGCTTCGAGGGATAAGAGCACGTGGCAGCGTGCGGATGTTCAGAAGCTATTACTGCTGGTGCATTCTGTTGCTGAAACTAGACCAATGCCACATAATAACAAAAGCCGGCGGACGTCACTGCCGGTGCTCTGCCACAATAGGGCTTACAGTCTCATCACAAACCTCTTACACACGACACTGACTACCGAGACAAAACCACCGAAGCATTTAGCCCAGCTGACCGCTATCTTGGATGGACATGTCATCCACCGCTGGCGAACACGTGAAAGGATTCCTTTTCGTTTGCACGCGCTTTCCGCCGCAACGGCCAGTGGCAAGGACAACCCGGCCCCTGCACACCCAAATCCTTCAGCCCTCCAGACCTCCTAGAATTCTATACTGAACTTAGTACCCTAGCAATAAATATATTTCTAGCTGTTTCTTGAGGATTATAATAACCAAAAAATAAAAAATATTTCGAAGTACCCCTAAGAATTGTCTACCCTCAACCCTAAACCTGAGAACCACCACCCCGCCCATCCCCCCATTGCTTGCACGGCCCAGGTGCTGATGCTGCTCCAACTGCACTGCCGGCCGTACCTGGCTTGCGACTCTGAACAAGATGGCTTATAGGGTTTCGGGTTTGCTTTGAAGGTTTCGGGGTTTAGGTTTGAGAACTAAACCCCAAATCCTGAACCCCTATAAACTCAAGGCTTAAGGTTTAGGGGTTTATAAGGAGTTATAGGATTCCGGGGTTTCGGGGTTTAGGGATGTAGGTTTAAGAGCTCAAGCTTTTTTCAAGCTCAACGCTTCAGACTTCATTTCGAAGTTTCGGGCTTCGGTGTTCGAACTTCTGTGGGTAGTAGGGAATGGAGGACTGGTAGTAATAGTAGTTATAACTGTACCCCATTCCTCCATTCCCTACTAACCACAGGTAAGTTCTGTGGTTAGGAGCTCAGGGCGAAGCTTCATGGGCTCAGGGACTTACTTTTAGAGTTTAGGGTTTAGGGGTAAGTTTAGGGTTTAGGGGGGCCCAGTCTACGTTAATCTCAGGTAAGGAAAAAGAGTATTGGCAATTATTGAGGCCCCTGTATTAAGGCCTCAGAGCTTTGGGCCCGGAGTGTCCAGGTCTCCAGTCTGAAAACCAGAGGATTGGCTTGACGAGATTCCGCTGCTTAGTGTTGAGGGTTGTAATGGCTTACCAGCATCCCCCAAGTACCCTGTAATGGAGCCCCTTTGGTCCTTAATACTGGGTGTTTAGGACATAATCGAGGAAGTTGGGGGGTTAGGGGTTTCAGGGCTTTTCAGTTCAGGGGCTTTCTGTGCCACCCGGAAATTCCAACCTGAGTTTCGAGTTTATGCCACTCCGCACTCCAGAGCAACAACGATACCGCTACCCTCCCGAAGGTTGCCGGGGAGTCCAGTGAGATGGGGGCCTTAACAGTTAGAACAGGGTTTTGGGGCCCCTCATAGTATACTTAAATAAGGAACCCCCGCAATATTGAAAAGTTTATTGAAGCCCCTATTTTACCGCTGTGTCAGGGAATATTGTGGATACATGGCGCTAGAGTTTAAAGCTTTGGAAACTTATGGTTAGTTACAGCTCAACATAAAGGCAGATAATATAGGCTCACTGACTCAGAGGGTCCATATATACTACTATAATAGAATTAGGCCCCTAAAAACCATCCCAATCATGGTTTTGGGTGGACCTAATGGTATACATGGACCCTCTTGGTTAATGTAGGAACCTGACTAAGTAACCTTGGGCCATTATTAGGGCTCCTTGTATGAATCCTACTATTTTGGGGTTATAGGCTCAGGCTTTCTCAATCAGGTCCCTCCAGTAGAAATCCCCAAACCCTAAACCTAGAGGCATGGAACTCTCTGCGCAAGGACCCTAAACCCTGAACCCTGAATAAACTACCTTTCTAGGGTTCCTTATTGTGATTTCCTTGTATAAGAACCTTAAAAAAGTAGGTTATTCCGGGTTAAGAAAACCCTGAACCCTCGATCACGCCGGGCCCCCGGCCGAAAAACAGCAAGCGGGCTGGGTTGGGAGACCTCGGCTAGCGCGAGGCTTCGGGGTTTAGAGTTTAAGGATTTAAGGTTGCCCTATAAAGCCCCTATGTAACCCTCATAATCACACTACATAACCATTAACACCCCTATATAACCCCGATATAACACAGGATTTAGGGCTCAGGACGTGGATGCTTGTTTTTTGATGATATCCAAATCGGGAATCTTAAGCCCTACATGCTGTCTCGCAGAGGCTAAGGGAGTAAACCAAGGCCTCAGGAGAAAAGGCTGACTCTGACAGACTGCCATCACAGAGAACCGAAACCCTAGGGCTTCGGTTACCTTTACCTAAATAGTGGGTTTTAGGGTTTAGGGTTTAGGGTTTAGGGTTTAGGGTTACTATCCTAGAACCCAGCATCCCATTATTACGGTAACTGGAGCCCTTGAAGAAGACGGGGCGCTTGTCCACCATCGGGCCACCAACTGTGGCGCCCAGCAAGTAGCCACCTGCGATTATGCCACAAACCTTGAACCCTACACCCGAAATCTCAAACCCCAACCCCCCAAACACTACACCCCAAATCTCAAACCTCAAACCCCTAAACCTAATCCTGAACTCTCAAACCCTAAACCTTCTAAACCCTAAGCGGCCCTACCCCCTGAACTCGCCAAACTCTCTTGACCTTGAACCCACAATATCTCCCACCTCGAAGCCTACACCTGGAAACCAATCCGGAACAGAGCCCTACCCTAAGGCTGCATAGTAGTTCCTTTTTGAGGTTCATATATTAGAATCCTAGAAGGTATCATATTTAGAATCCTATGAGGTATCATATTTAGAACCCTAGAAGGTAACCCCCAAACAGGAACTACTTTGGAGCCTCTGGGTGGACCGTGAACCCTGGGCTAGAAGCACATGGAAGCCTCTGGGTTATAAGGCTTTGGGTTTCGGGGGTCCTTAGAAGGATCCTGAAGAGGCTCCTTCAAAGGGATCTAGAAGGGGTTTAGGGGTTTTGGGATTTAGGGTTTCGGGTTTCGGGCTATGTTGTTTTGGGTTTAGGGTTATAGGCTTGGGGGTTTAGGGTTGCAGTTTTGTTGTGTTGAATGCCGTGTTCCGTCTGCCTAAAACGCCTGTAGACTGTGGAACTCACTCTGTAACGGGTTATGTATCAGGTTACAAGGCTTATAAGGTTTTAATTTAATTCACATATAGGGTCACAAGGTTACTACGTCTACTACGGTAGAGACTAGGTAAGCAATAAACTCAGAATCTTAAATTCCATCATGAAACGACTTTCGTGCTGAAGCGGGGTATCCCCAAGTCCCTGCAAGATAAAACTCGGCCTAGTACATGACTTATAAGCACAGGGCCTTAAGACTCTAAACCGCAAGACTCTACAGCATAGATAATAAAGGAAAGCATGCTAGGCCCCGCACCGGCACGGGCAGAGAAGAGCAGCGCGGCAAGGCTCTGCGAGCATTCGAGACGCTCCGTGAGATCTGCGAGATTCAATGTTCAGGGGTGCTTCTTTGCCAATCCTGTAGACTCGAAGGGGGTTTAGGGTTTAGGGTGCTAGGTCGGCGCTGTGAGTGGTAGGCACTAACTGCTTCTGACAACCATCTACCGCCGGGGGTGGGTTGTGGGTTGCCTCTCTTCAGCGTTCCTTCAGGGTACTACACTAGACCTCAGAGTAACCTAGGAAAAAAAGGTGCCCTTTTTTGGTTTAAAGGGGGTTATAAGGGAACCTGAAGCCAAAAAAAGTGCATAAGGGCCTGCTCTGGGTCCTAGACAAGGGTTGTTTCAGGATTCTATGGTCCAGGACCTCCAGGACCTTTGGGTTTCGGTGTCGCGAAGCACAGGTTTAAGGCTCCCTGTAAGGTTTCCTCACGAGTTCAAAGGTTCAGGATTTTTTCTAGCCAGGGCATGATGGAGGTCTTGGAGAATTCAGGTTTAAAGTGTAATGGGGGCTTTTAGCCGGTTAACGTTCTAGACGTTGTAGGGTTCAGGGTTTGGGTTATGCACCGTTTCGGGCTCATTCGGAAATCCGTTTCGGGTCTGCCTTTGTCAGGATACTGGTACCATTCAGGGTCTAAGTCAGCATCTCATGTTTGGATTAGGAGCTGCAGAGCAAAGTGGATCCCAGCTTTCAAATCCCACCCTGAACTGAACCCTGAACCCTGAGAATACCAAGCACTACTTGGAGGTTCATGGGCACTTATAAGTAGGGTTACAAGTCAGGTAACCATACTTATCACCCATGCTAGGGGACGTAAAGCCCCTCTAATAACTACCCATGAACCTCCAAGTACCTCCGAGGCCACGAGACCCCAAGGCTCGAAACGGCCAAAAGGCCACCTACAGTAGCGGGTTTAGGCCGAAACGGTTCACAGTTTAGGGTTTAGTGGTTTAGGGCTTAGGGGTTCATGTATTGAATTACAAGTAAACTCCTTGTAGACCCCTTCTAGAAGCGTGGAACCCCTTGAATATAACCCTAAGCTGTTCATGGCAAGTAATTAAACCCGAATCGCCGCACCTAGCAACGTGGGGCCAAGCATGGCATAGCTGATGCCTGCACATCAAAGTCTACTGAGGTCGTTGTGTTTTGAGGTTGTCTTTTTACTGCTTCCTTCCCTGTTGAGCCTGGGGTTAGGGCATGGGGTTATGGAATTAGGCTTCCTTATCTTCTCAGGATGCCTTTCCTGGATGTGGGAGCACGAAAATCATCGACATCTCTATGACCTGGACAAGTTTACAGAGGTCTGAGGCAACTCAACCTGATGGAAAGCAGCCTTCCTATACTGTAACCCAACAGGTTATTACATATCAGGCTTACTTGATGGGAGGCCAGAAGGGCGGTTTAAGATTCTTGGGGGAGGGGGTTCCTTAATAGAAACCCTATTATGGGAACCCTAATCCCTACTAAACCCCCATAGGCCAAAACCCCTTTTGGCCTCCTATGCTTACTTAGCTTTTGGTTTGGTCGGGTGTTTCCGAAAATAGGGGACCCTCATATAGTACCCTAGATAGGATTAGGATCCAATTGTAAGGACCCCAAGATAAGGTGTCCCGTATTTTCGGAAACTCCCATATCAAGCTTACGTAGCTTTTGCTCTGGTCGGGTGCGGTTACCTTTTTAAAGGACTTATATAAGGAAGTCATAATGAGGAACCCAAAAAAGGTAGGTTGTTCAGGGTTAAGGTAGGGTTTGGGGATTGCGCTTTGAGGCTTGGAGAAACGGGTGCCAAGAGCCGAGGTCAGATTTCGGGCTGCAGGGCCTGGCTTAGATTTATGGAGGGTTAGGGTTTAGGGTATAAGGCATATATATATATATATAGGGTTTAGGATATAGGGGATATAGGCTATAGGGCCTAGAGGGCCTAAGATATATAGGGTTTAGCACTTAAAGGATGGTGGAGACAGCATGCCGACGAGAAGAAAAGCAAGCAGGCCGAGTCCTTGTACCGTTACGCGGTTGAGAAGCACTCTCCGTTGTAATATAGAGGCCTAATTACCTATACACTATTTCGGGGGGTTCATTATTATACTTATAGTATAATGGGCCACCAAACCCTATTCTAATCAGTACCCTTACAGATCCCTTATAGTAACCCTTATATAATATAGACCCCTTTAAAGGGACCCCCCAAAATAGTATAGGTAATTATGTAGGCCCCTATATTATGCGTTTTCAGATACACCGGCCGCAGCACTCGCGCTGGGTTTAGAGAGGGCTCGACTTTATAGGGCTTTAGGTTGGGTACTACCCCCATACAGTAACGGTCTATAATGGGGCTACTATTAAGATCCTAATATAGCAGTCTATAATAGGGCTACTATTATTAAGGTCAGGTCCTAATATAGCGGTCTATAACAGGGCCGCCGTTGAGGTCCTAATATACCTATGTTACGAATATAATCCAACTGCTACTGAGTGGGGGCAGTACCCAAGCTTTAGGTGTTTCAGGCTTGTTGGTAAGGCTCCGGTGTGGAGATGAACTCTAGGGTTCGGTCACTGGCAAAAAAGGAGAAACGCGACTGGACTACTGTGGGAACTGCACGGGTAGAGATTGTTTGTAAGGCTTGATTGCTCCACAATTATTTCTTGTAGTGCGCGTCTGGAATATGCCCCGGGTTGCCTCTGTATTGGGTTCCGTGACCTTGAATCTCTTGCGGGCTTCTACGGAAGCTCCAATGCACATCTCGAGTCAACAAAACTAGATTCCTCAGTACTCTCACACGGGTATCGTACCTTCTTCCTATCATGCAGTCTCAACATGCAAGGAAACCACGAAGGTGGTGACGAAATCGTCAGCAAGAACCTCCCACTAAAACAACCCCTAGCCTCTGAGCAATTCGGGGGTTTCCGAAAGTAGGGGACCCTAACATGGTACCCCAAATAATAGGATCCTGAGTATAAGGACCCCCAAATCAGGTACCCATTACTTTCGGAAACTCCCACCAACCTTACAATGAACCCAGAGACTGTAATATCCCCTAAGGTTATACCTTAATTAAGGAATATACCGTAAAATATATAGGGATCCTACTATGATTTAAGGCATATTCCTTAATTAAGGGATATTGGAGTCTCTGGGAAGCACCCGCAGTCTTAATACCAGAACCTCTAGCCTAAATATTCAAGCCCAGATATTAAGCCTTCGTCAAAGGAGTGAAGAGCTGATATGAGTCTCTGCGGGTCTGATCCCAACCCAAAGGCAGAAAAAACCGTCAATTAAACAAGACTCCTAATATGATCGTAAGGTAGGGTGTAGGGTTTTCAGGGGTTTTAGATTTTAGAGTTTAGGGGTAATTAGATTCCTCCTCTACCGTTTCTTTGAAACCCCATGCCATAAATCATCCCGTTTTAAAGTCGACTCATCAATGGAGGGATTGTGGTGTATCTGAGAAAGTGGCCGATGCCGCCGACAGCAGCATATAGACCAAGCCTGGCACAACAAGGGTCGTTGGAGTTTTTGGGGGGCGCTTTGGGAGGTTTCCGTAAAGGGTTTTTCACAAGTGTACGGATTTGCCACGAGTTTGAACGAGTTTCCAAAAGGGTGTAGAAACCTTTAGGACCCCCTAAACCGTAAACCCTAAACCCTCTGACAAGGGTTGCAAGAGCTTCATAAGAGCTCCAGAAAGGTTTAAACAAGACGCTATGAGCGTCTTATCGAGCCTTATCAGGGGGTTTACGCTCAGCTCTCCTTCTCACGGTTTAAATAAAGAAACCCTAAACCCCAAACCGTGGTATGTTCCGCGATGGAGGGGTGTGGGTCTCTTCGGGCGATTCTTCTCTAAAGCTCAGGACATGTGGCTCAGGCGGCTCAGGGATTTGGAGCTTGGCGTTCGAAGGGTGCTTACCTCGCTGCTGAAGCTCACAAGAGATTCCATGGGAATTACGAGAATATACAGAGACACCGAGAATTTCATTGATCAATGGTTCATTAAACTAAAGCTTAAACCCGACACCAGGAAGCCCCACCCACGAAACCCTGCCAAACCAGATGGCACCATGACAAAAACGAAGCAGCACAGGGGCCCTAACCGCAGGAACCCCCTACAATAGTGTTGCTGAGTATTCAGGCTTTTGTAGTACTCCGGTAGCGCTGCTCGAAAGCACATACATGCAAATATGGGTCCCTGAGGCCTCGAGTCTACAGCCAAATCCTAAGCTGAAAAATACACACAAACAGACACACACACACAACACCCGCACACACACACACACACACACACACAAACACAGACACACAAACACAGACACACACACACACACAGAGACACACACACACACAGACACACACACACACACACACACACGCACACACACACACACACACAAACACACACCCACAGACACACACACACACACGCACACACGCACGCACACCCCACACACACACACACGCACACCCCCACAGACAGACACACACACACACACACACATGCACATGCACATGCGCACACGCACACACGCACACGCACACGCACACACGCACAAAACTCCCGCACACGCACACGCGCACACGCGGGCTTGCAAAACCCTCCATGATACCCAGTAGTTAATGGAATGCCGAGACAGCCTAACCGAAAAGACCCGAGAACCTAACAACCTTCAGGCAATTAAGCAACAAACGAAGGTAAAGCACACCGAGGAGCGTCCAAAGTGTGCGGTCAACGCTGGCTCCGGGGCTTTTGCCCCCGGCAGAGCTCTCCGAGTTCGGTGACAAAAGCGGCTCCATGGCTCAAGAGGGATGCTTCAAGGAGTTTACGGTTTCGGGAATACAGGGTACCACAAGCCGCACTATAAGGGCTACTATCAGGGTGCCGATCAGGAGACCATGTCGGTTCTTTTGAAGGGTCCTTGAAGGGTTCCGCTACAGTTTCGGGCTTGGGGCTTTTCGGGATGTAGGACCGGAAATTCCAAGATTCCAAGACAGGGGCACATAGAAAACACATGAAATACTCATGTGATGTACGAAGCCGCATAAGTTGCCGCATCTGAAGCCTCCGATCTTGCAGCAGGCACTTTACTGACCCTGGGCAGCTCACATAGGTGTGGCATCTGCCGCCACACTGATTACCCCTAGCAGGAAATCCAACTAGCAAAGTAGAAAACAGAATTACACCCCGCAACCCAAAGCCCGTACATAAACCCTAAACCCAAACCCAAGGACACTCAACCCTTAAGCAGCAAAAAAACTCCTACGCCCGTAACCGTAAACCCCTAAATTGCAAAATTAAGACTGCAGGTGTAGAGTATACATCAAGGTGCCAGCTGAACATGTAACCATAAACCCTACATAGCTACAGAGAAATAGTAGGTTATGACTCTGGTTGAAAGGGCACTACATGGCAAAACCCACTCAACAGGAGATTTTTGGATCCACAGGCAGGCTTGGGGAAATGTTGCTTTGGTTATAGTATCCTTAAGGGAGGGGGCTCCAAGGGGGGTACATAGCCTAGTGATCCCTAACTCTCCCTAGTACTCCCTAAGGTTCCCCTAAGGATTCCTTGTACCCTCCCCCCTTGAACCACCCTCCCTTAAGGATCCTATATTTTGGGGTGTCTGAATGTGGAGGATGGAGGTGCTGGGGTCTACCGCACTCCAAATTTGCAGGGGCTACCTGGACCCCAAAGAACCTATCTGCTTAAGGACTTATATAAGGAAATCACAATAAGGAATCCTACAAAGGTAGGTTATTCAGGGTGGAGGTATAGATGCATATAAGTACCAAGCATTCAGACAGGTGCTACCTAGGCAGCACTCGTCGCAACACCCCGACAACCATCTACGACTTGTTGCAAGCTTTCCGAGTGTCCAGTCCCTAAGCCTCTAACCCCAAACATTCAGCAAACCCTCCGAACAAAAGAAAAAACATTCAGCAAACCCTCCGAAGAAAAGGAACCATGACCACAAGCAAGACCAAGTATGTTGAACTCTTGATTGATGCCGCTCGTTTGCAACAAAGATAACAGAAAATGCTTCTTTGATACTTAATACTTAGGAGTAGGCTTTATCCAGGCGTCAATATTACATTCTATGGCATCCTTTGCAGCTTGAGACCTAACCAGGAAGAATGCTTTGATGATCCAAATACCTAGCACAGGGTTCTCAAAGACTTCGGGTTCGGGGCGAGTACACTATCTGCACATATGTATTTGTAGGAGTGATACCAGTAATTATTCTCGACATTACTGAGCTTTTTGCCAGTATCAGCATACTTATGTCCACTGCTGTTGTTAATGCCAGTGTCATCAGCATGTATTCGACGGAAACCCCAACCGGTTAGTTGTACGCCCGTCTAACCGCAGAATCTCCGTGCTGAAGCTGATATAACGTTTCAACGCACTTCGGTGTGGCATAAATAAAAGTCCTAACAACAGAGTCTCTAACAACAGAGTCTTTGAGCCCTCGAGCCAGCAATTCAGGAAGATACCGTGAAGATCTATGACTTGAAGATGGGACGTATGGTTCTGCACAATAAATCCCATTTGCAGTTCATTCTCTGACGGATCCTCCCTGAATCTAAGTCCAAGAACCCCAAGCCACATGGCCCCGAATCCATGGCTACGGCCAGAGCACTTCTGCCTAGTTGGCATTGAGCTTTGCAGGCTTACATGGGTTTGGGGATGCATTGGGGACTATATATGCAAATTAAAACCCCGCAATCAACTCTGCGCTCACGGTATGAAGTGTCCACGTTTGAAGCCGTTACGGTTTAGGGTCGAGGGTTTACGGCTTATTAAGTAAGACCTGCGAAACAACCACTGCACTGCTACTGTTGCTGCTACTACTACTAGTACTACTACTACTACTACTACTACTACTACTACTACTACTACTACTACTACTACTACTACTACTACTTCTACCAACTACTGCAACCCCCGAACCCTACTCGAGCGTCCCGGCGAGAACTCGCCCAGATTGGCTTCGAAGCGAGTGTATCCGAGAGGGAGGATGCGGACCTGCCCGGGATTTCCTTTAAGGGGTCCTTTTAAGGGATCTATGAGGGTTCTATAAAGGGTTTAGGGTTTAGAGCTTCTATGGGAGTTTCCGAAAATAGGGGACTCTAATACAGCACCCTAAACTAGTAGGATCCTAATTATAAGGACCCCCAAAATAAGGTACTCCTATTTTCCGGAAACCCCCATATAGGGACCGAAATAAATCGAACAGTGCTTGTCTGAAGCAACCTTAGAGGATTTTACAACCCTAGTTAAGGATTTTACTGGGTGTTAGCGGCGTCCAACATAAGGTCGTTTAACAAAGAGATACGACTTCGGGGTTACTGTTTCCTACTTGTTCAGATCTTTATCCTGCGCACTGTGCGCCAGCTGTAAGCCTAAGGGTAAAAGGAGGGACCCGTAATCAGGACCCCTAGGTATATACCCTTAATATAGCTATTATATACCCATTATAGGGTAGGGGTCCCCATTAAGGGTTCCTCCTTTTCCCCTACTAAACCCTAAACCCTTATATAAAGGAACCCTAAGAGCCCTAAATTAAGGGTCCCTCCTTTTCCCCTTTGAGTAGGAACCTCGGGTTGGTATCGAGGTCTGGGGTTTCGCAAGGCTCAGGGCTTGTAGGGTCTGCTTGGATGCGTATCCGGAGGGTCTAAAATGCCCCCTACAGGGAACTCCAGAAAGTTGGAATATGGTTTCATGGCAGGATACCCTATAATTTACCATAGAAGGGTTAGGATACTCATATTCCAACTTTCTGGCTTTTACCTTATTGGCGCGTACATGCGATCGCCGGGTTTACTTGCCACCGTGAACTGAAGGCACCCTGAACGCTACGCAACCCCCAAACCCTACACGCAACCCTAAAACCATACAAACTAAACAGCTCCGCATCCTAAGCCCGAACAGACCAAACCCTGAAGCCCTAAACCGCTGGGGGAAGGAAGTCACCTTGATCCCTAAACCCCAACGTCCTTAAACCAATCTAAAACCTGCAACCGTAAATTCCTGGCTGAAGGAAGGCACCTTGATCGGCACCGTGGAAGCCTCGAAGGCTGGCACACTGCAGCTGACCTGCAACTTACGGATTACTTTTGCTACGGTTGGGGGTTTAGGGTTTTAGGGTTTAGAGTCTGTTACTTTGAACGTCCCTTTTCCATCCTCAAATATACCAACATACGAAAAATTACGACATTACGAAAATCACGAAAAATACGGACACATACCAAAACATACAACAACATACCAGGGGCATAGGAAATGAAGCCAAAGGCAAGGAAACACACACTCGTCGAATCGATATTGCACCATGACTTTGTCAGGGAATCTGCTGTGCTACATCTATCCAAAACTCTAATTTAATTAGAAACTACACATACATTCTCATATTTCGGTAGAATAGCTTAATGAACCTCCTGCAGATCGCCAGCCATTGTCTTAAGCTCGCCTTCTTTTCGTGCAGCCGATCATTTAGTATCTCAGACTCTGCTTGTCATCAGCGTTGCTAGAAAGCAGCGCCGCAAAATCGGGCAGCAGTTCCTTTCCCAGCTGGCCTGTTCGAAGGAAAGGACAACCGCACAGAGCGACCATCCGTAGTTTGTTGTATTGTTTGTACTCTTCTGTAGTGGTTGTATGTGTTCGCATTTTTTGCTTTTTTGCACTCTATCGCATGTGTCTGATGTTTTTGTGTGTTTGTAGTTTTCTGTGTTTATTTGCGTTTCGTGTGTATGCTTGTTGCTTGTATGTTTTTGTACTTTTTGGTATGTTGGAATCTATTTTTTGTGTATGTTGCCTATATCTTTTATGTGTTGCTTCATGCTTTTGCTATTTGGCTTCTGTGTGTTTTGTATGTCGGCTGTATGTATTGGCTGCGCGTTGGCTGTTTTTGTACCATGCGCTTTATGTAGCCGGCTGTTTGCTAGTATCAGTGTTGGCTTTGTGTTTTCGTTGTCCTGCATTTTTGGCCCACCATCGCTGTGTTGTCTTTTGTTTCTTAGTCTTAAGCCTGTTATGCTGGCAGTATGTCTGGTAGGCCGAGACAAGGCCTTCATATTTGGATGGTATTTCTGGCAGTTTATTTTCGTATATTGGTAATATTTTTTGCATGTTGATGACATCTTTTTGTATGTTGATCGTATTTTTGTATGCTTTTGTATTTGTTTGTATGTTGCGAAATCCCAAGAAACTCTTTTCTATGAACATGCTTTGATGGTTCTATTGACATGAGAATAGCTTTCTGAGACTCCATACTGTAAACGCAAGCCTACCATGAAACATGTTGTTTGTAGCTACAAACTTCAGCCGCATGCATTGCAGATATGCTTGGTGGTCCGGCTGTTTCACGTTTGAGAAATGGATCACAAAATGCGGAGCGGGGGGTGTCGTGAAATCTCAACCTTCTATTCTCAGACCATGCGGGTGTATCTAAAGCAAGTGTGGAGTTTCCCCAACATCTGGGTTCCAGGATTGACAAACGTGCTGAGGCTATGGGCACTAGCATGGAAGTACGGTCACAAGGGGGCCTTCATAATCGAATCGATATCGGACGATGGGGTAGATGCTATGATTAGGAACCCTGGGGAAAATGCATGCAACTCTCCAGTCAAACCCTATCACAGCCCAAGTAAAGCCGGTATAGAACCCAAAAGGCACCTTCATTGGAACCCTCTAAGCACCCTTACACATTAAACCCTGAAGCCCTTAAGAAGGGCTCCTTTAAGGGAATCTTTAACTAGGATACCCAGTAACCTAAGAATAAAAAGGCCTCTCTTTT